ATATAGTTCCTTGTAACTGGTTCCCTCTTTCCTACCCACTCTTCCTCTACCCTCCCTGTTTCACCACTCTCACCACTGGTCCTGCCTATCTTATCTAGGCATCATAATATACACAAAAAACAAGACAGTGCAAAAAAGCAACAAAAGAAAACAAAAACTGATTAAAAAAAAGTCTGTTAACTAGTTCAAGGTCTGTTTCTTGACATTTAGGAGTGTTTTCAGGTCGAATCTAATGGAGTGCCACGCCCTGGCCCCAAAGTCTATTTTTGGTACTCCCTTGGGACTTCCTTGCTCAGCTCTCCTTGCTGTTCAGTTGCACGCCCTAAATGTTTTGCCTTAGTGTGGTGGCGTAAGATGGGGCACAATTCCTGAACTGTGTCTCCAGTGGTGTCCTTCATAGTGCTATTGGATTAGTGAGGGACATTGTGTCTTGTAGTGGGGCCGGCCCTGTGGTCCTCTCTCTGTACTGGCTGCTCTGAGCAGGGATATCATCCTCAAGGCTTGATGGGCCAAGATGTGCTCCACTCTCTCTTCCTCCCCCTTCGTTTGCTCCCATGTGCTCTGATGAGACGTCCCTCTCCCTGAACTGTAGCTTCAGTGCTGTCCTCTGAAGTAAATTCTTTTGGGGAGAGGGGGGACTGACTGTCCATGTAGTTGGGATTGGGGCCGGACCTTTATATTTCTACAGCATTTATAAATTTTATCTTTTTTTTTCTCCCACTTCTTCAATTTCCCCATTGGTGTTGTACTCCATTGTACTGAAAGCATGTAATGCCATAAAATTTGTGCCTTAGCTGCATCTCAAATTGTGGTATATAAATTTTTATTAAGTTTAAATACTTGTAAAAATTTGATCTATTGGTTATTTGGAAACATATTTGTTAACTTCCAAGCATACAGGTTTTCTAGCTGTTCAGTCACATCACCGTCAAAGAACAAAGTCTGTGCAATACAAACCCTTCACAATTATTTATGGATACTCGGTTTATTGTCTAGTTTGAGATCAATTTTATAATTGTTTTGTGTGTAATTGGAAAATATATCAATTTTGAAATTAAGCTTTTTATGTTACTTGTATTTATAATAATTGAATTGTTTGGTCTTATCAATTACTGAGGGAAAAATGGTAAGATCTGCCACTAATATGGTGAATTTGTGTTTTCCAGTTTTTATTTTAAATACTTTGAGGCTGGAAAGTCGATTCATTATATATTTACTTTATTTCCAATGTTTTCCCCCAGATGATTGTTTGTGTTTGTATCACTAACACTATCTTTGTTATTTTTACATCTCATTATTTTCAAATCTTTTAATCTATATTCCTTTGTCTCTAATGTCACTTGTATATATACAACAAAGTTTGGTTTCATTTCTAATCCACTTTTACAATTTTTCTCTTTTACTTGGAACATAAAGTTTATTCACATTTGATTAGTGATATTTGGCTTTATTTAATTTTTCTGCACCTTTTAAATTATTTTTCTGTATACCTCTTTTTAAAAATTAGTTTTTAAGAACACAGTTTCTGGTTTCATCTCGATTGTTCCGGCTTGTAGCACAAATTCTTATCAGTGTTTTCTCACCTTCTCTGGAAACTTTAGGGAGCCCTGGTTGCTTAGTGGGGTGCACACTGAGCTGCTAACTACAAGGTCAGCAGTTTGAAAACCCACCAACTCCAACAGAAAAAAGGGAAGCTGCCAACTCCCATAAATATTGAAAGTTCTGTGTGTCCTTTAGGTTCACAATAATTCAGAATTGACCCTGGAAGTGAGTTGCTCTTCTGGGATTTTTATCTGCTTTTTCTCCACTCACTGCTTGAATGTCTATGTGCAGAAAAACATTAATTTTTATTGAGAGAGTATATCATTAACTCAATTATCTTAGTGCGCTTTAATTACTTAAATATATAAGTGAAAATACACACAACAAGACTTGGACCCATTCAGTAATTTCTAGACATAATTATCAGTGACTTTGGTTGGGCACAGTCTTCAAAATGTGATTATTCATATTATTTCTCTTTCGTTTCATTCTGGCTGCCTTTAGGCTATGTCTTACGCTATGACTTTGTCTCAGAATAGTTGTTATCCATTCAATTCTATGTGCGTACTTTTTAAAAAGAGCACCTCCAATTCTCAAGGGTGACACTATTCACTAATGGGTTAAATTATTAACTTAGTTTAAAGGTGAATTCAAAGGATACTTTAAATTCTAAATTTAACAAATAATATCGTGCTGTAGTATCAGGGACTCCTCCACCCTCAATATATCAATTAAGTCTTCAAGAGTTTGAAGTACTATTTCACATTTTTCCTCTTTCTATCAGGATCCATCTCTCTTGTCCCTACTGATGAGCTGTTCAGTAGTGGGAACTAGACACCATAGTTTTCGTCTCAATGAAGAGCCGGCAGTGGTTCATGGAGACAGTCCTGTTAGTCCATTCCTTCTGTAATTTGGTTTCTTTCATTTTCTTTTGCTCTGGACAAATGGATACCAGTACTTCTATCCTCACTCTCCCTTCCTCTCTCCCCTTTTTCCTTCACTGCCATCCAGTCAATTCAGACCCCAGGCAACCCTAAAGATAGAGTAGAATTGCCCCTTTTGGTTTCCAGGGCTGTAAATCTTTTGAGGAGCAGAATCCCTCATCTTTCTCCTGCTGGTTTCAAACTACTGACCTTGTAGGTAGCAGCCCAACACATAACCCACTATACCATCAGGGCGTTGTGTGTATTCACTTTAAAGTTTCTTATTATGACAATATTTGAGCTTCCAGTCAAAAATTTAAACACCTCCTCCTCTTCAGCCTCTATTTAACATGTGTCAAGGAAAGACTAATTTATACTTAGAAGTCCCTACACTTCCCATTTTCTCATAAAACCAATGCAGCTTAATTTTCTGCCATAATCACAATACTGAAACTACTCATAACAGGGTTAGCTATGATCTAATTGCAAAATTCGAGGGACAAGTGTCATTTATTCATAAAACATTAATTGAGCATATTCTGGGCTTTTGGAACTAACCCTGTCAATAAACAAATAGACACTTGTGCCTCATGGGCATATATTTCAGATGGGGAGGCAGATAAAGTAGACATGGGGAAAGGGAAAATAAAGTAAGGATGGGAGTAGAGGATGTAAATTGCAGCATTAATAGGGCAGTCAACTTAGACCTCAGTTTGGAAGATGAGATTTAAAGACTTGTGGACAGTGAGGGAATTTTCTAGGCAAAGGTAGTATCTAGAGCTATGGTTTTCATTGTGGTCTCTGGTCTGATTGAAGGATGTTGGTAGAAATGCAAATTCTGGTGGTTCAAACTTACTAGCCATTCTGGGGTGTAAAATTAAGCCTGTTTCTCGGCTGGGGTATGGGGTTTTGGAATGATCCTGGTGGTCTGCAAAAGCTGAGATACCTACATTGTCTTCTGGATTGTGGGCAGTACAAAAATTTTAATTGCACAGGGGAGAGTCTCAGTAGTTTTTGTTTTTCTGGAAATTGGTCACACTTCTCCTCCCACCTCCATATTGTAATACACTTGGCATTTTTAAAGGACAAAGTGTGTTTTCAAAAAGTTCTTAAAAAACAATTGCACTGTCTTTCAATTCCTTTCCACAAACTTTTTGAAGCCCCTTGTAGAAATGGAAGGAGTTGCAGCTTACACATTATTTGAAGAAATGGAAGGAAGATTATCTGAAATGAGAGTTTTAAGTTGTAATATCAGATGTGACTGGGTATGGTTCGTTGCACAGTGAACTTGAGGTAGATGGCCGCTGTTTGAAGTATTTTTGGGTTCACCTTGGGTGCAGTTTGGTGCACTTTCCTAGTTCTTTAGAATTAAAGAGTACATAAGCAAGCATTAATTTGTGGTTCAAATTGTTGCCTGATGCATGAATAACATTCAGACCCATTTTCATTTCTGAAACAAGCATCAAAGCAGAATCAACCAATCTCAGATTTGGGTGGTTATTTTTCTTGTCTAAAGCCTTGATTAGTGATTAAGCTGTCTGTTCTTTCACTAGTAAACCCACTCAAGCAATCAGATTAGGATCTTTGGAACAGTAGCAGATGTAGTGTCGAAAAATCACCAACCATGGAGTTTTAGACTTAATTTTCTTCTTAGTTTTTAAACTAGTTATGTAATCTAAAAGAAAGATCTATATTCATTGGTTTTCAATACTAAACTTTTGGTGGTGTCCTAATACATGCTAACGTCATTATTTGATTTGTAAGGTAATACATAGATGTGGGGTTTTATAAACTACATCAGGAATGTGGGCCCAAGGCTCGAATTCTGGAAAAAATGTCATGTGAATGGACTTAAATTTGTTGATATTTATAACTATTTCTGCATAAGATTACAAATCTAATATAACTCCAAATATTCAATATATTTCAGCTTCGGAGGAGACAAGTTTATTAGTGTGGATTATGTATTTAGTAATGAAGCTTCTTGTCCGCTACTTATAAATTGTTCTTTTTGAAGTAATTATTTTAGAGATCATGTGTAAAGTATAATTTCAGTTTATTATTATTTTGTGTAATTTTGCCTTTAATGACTTTTACTAACTAGTATATAACATTTTATTTAAGATTGATTATGGTTTTCAGAATTTCTAAAGGTACTGCTTTATTTTAAAGGATTAGAAGATAAAGAACAAAATTTAACTAGAAGAATTAATACATCAGATATTTTGTCTGAAAAGGTAAGATACAGTTCTGTGGTATTAAATATCGGTAAGACTGATTTTTGCACTACTTTTTTTGAAATGGAGATTCTGTGTTACTGTGTCCCTACTGGCATACAGCCTGACAGATAAGAAATGCAGAATGACATCTTAGGCTTTTTGCGCTGGGTTCTATGAATGTTTAATGGAAATGTTAGAGGATATATATTTTTTAAATTTTCATTTTGATTTGGAGATCTCTTCCCATTTTGTTTGGGGGTTTGTCTTCTGTGTTCCAGCTGTGCATAGATAGATCTGACCTATGTCCAGTTCTGGTTCATTCTCTTAAACAGTTTTCTTGGTATGTAATTCACACATACAGTTCAGTAGTTCAATATTGAAGAAGAGTTATATCATCAGTGCAATCCAGTTTATAACATTTTCTTCTTTCATGTACTTACTGGTATTAGCTCCCCATTTTCCCCCAACCTCCCCTTCCATAACCCCAAGAAACCATTAGTCCAGTTTACTGTCTTCTTAGATTTACCTATCCTGGGTTTCACATACAGAAAAACATACTGCAAAAACAAAAAAACTAACAAGAACAACAAAGTAAAACAGAAAAACCTCAAACTAAAATAAAGTAAAATATTAAACAAACCAAAAACTTCCTGCCTTTGAGTCGATACTGAATCTATAGAACAGGGTAAAACTGGCCCTGAGAGTTTTAGAGACTGTAACTGTAGAAAGCAAAAAGCTTTAGGAGTACAAAGCCCAGCCATTGTTCCTCAGTGAGGCTGGTGGTTTTGAACCGTGGACCTTGTGGATTGCAACCCAACTGGAAACCACTGTACCAACATCACTTTTGAACTGCATCTGCAATAATCCACTTTCCAGTGCACGCTGCATAATACGAGCCTATTCACATTCTTGGTCTATGGTCAGAGAGGATTCATCAGAGGTTTGATCCACATGTATTTCCCCTTCCCCTTTTTTTTCTTCTAAGCAATTTTAAAATGGATCAAAAGGAGATCAAATCATAAAGCATTGTATTTTAACCTTTTACAATGCTCTAATCCATTTTATAATGCTCTGTCTGATAACAAGGCTATTCATATCCCTTGGGATTCATTTCTGCAAATGGTTGAACTTCTGCTGTCATTCATATCCTTCTGCAAACCAGGTGTTTACAATTTAAGCTCTGATACCATTCCCACCTTCAGATGTGGATTTTATTACTTACTACCCATGGATCACACAGGCTGGTCTGCTGCTTCTATGTGGACTTCTGTGATATGTCACTTAGCTGGCTGCTTTTTGAAGACAGGTCTTTTAAGACTCCAGACCCTGTTCTTTTTGATAGCTGAGCACCATCTAGTTTCTTCAACATACTTTGTTATAGCACCCATATCTTCATTGATCTCTTCCTGGGATGCAGGGGAGAGGTGAGCATCATGCAGGGCCATGTTATATTAGCTGCTTGTTCATATATTGGGGCTAGGATTAAGTTCGATCTTGGGGTTCTTTTGAGGTTTCATTATGAAAAAGCACAGAAAGATCAATGCCAGAAGAAACTTGCTCCGAGCACAGTCATTACGGGTTCGGTAGGCGCAATTATACAGCGATAATAAGTAAAGATTATAGTAAAGTTATAGAGAGCATGAGAGATAAAAGAGATATATAGAAATAAATGGAATCAGACACATTTTATAGTAGCATTGCTCACCTCAGCCCTGCTTGGTGGTCCATGTGGAGGGAGAGCTTTGAAACTTTAATGCTTCCCAAGCTTTTATCCTCTCTGGGGACGTGCAAGCCCCCTAATTACAGATGAAGACATACGTCACAGGAAAGGGTTGTGCTATAGGTATTAATAATAAACAGATTTGTGCTATTAAGATTTTCATTAGTTTTTATCTCAAAATAGAAATGTTTCAAAGAACCTGGAAGCTTTAGGAAAAAAATGGTAATGAATTTGGGGACTATAATTCAATGATATATGCTTATATATGTAGATATGCAAAAATAAGTATGTGCATATATGTGTTTGAATAGATAAGATCTCTAGTAAATTGACATTCAAGTTTTACAAATAGGGTAAAATTCATTTGGGAAGGTTAGGTGATTTGCTTAAAGTTATATATGAGTAAAGTGTCAGAACAGAAAGTTGAATGAGGTTTCTCTGACTCCTAGTTCAGGGTTCTTTTTGTTATTTCAGTATCTGCATCAAGTAGCATATAATTGTAGGTCAGAATCAGTGATTTCTTGTTTTCAATCAAAAAGTAATAGTTACAAAAAGCAAATATTTTTAAGTGTTAATGAAACAGTGTTGTTCTCTTTACTTTATTACAATCTAGATTAGGACTAGCCAAAATAATTCTCTGTGGAGGGGGGAACTTTTCTAAGTCTGTGGTCTTCAATAATGGTGGCCATTAGCCACATAAGACTAGTAAGCACTTGAAATGAGGTTAGTATGACTAAAGTTAGTTTTGTTAATTTAAGTTTATTTGTCACATGTAGCTTTGACAGTATAGCTCTAGAGCTTCAGCACCAAGCTTTAGGATATTTTATATATATAGTGCTATGTTTAAGTGACTTAGAGCTAAGAAGGAGTCATGATCATTTTAAAACTCATTCTGTACAAATATTTCTCAACAGCAGAAGGTGTAGTTATATTCTGATTTGGGTAAACTGAGAACCCTGATGGCACTGTGGGGTAAGCGTTGGACTGCTAACCATAAGGTTGGTGGTTCAAACCCACCATTTGCTCCACGTGGGAAAGATGAATCTATCTGCTCCTGTAAAGATTTATTGGAAACCGTATATTGGGATGTTATGAGTTGGAGTCGACTCAGTGGCAGTGGGTTTGGTGTGTGTGTGTGTGTGTTTGGGTTAGGGTAAACAAGTATTAAAAAGTTTGTATTGATAGTTCAGTAGGGATTTAGAGTCATTCATGTTATGGGGAAACCAATATGTGGGAGACCTATTTCTTAATGCTGAGAAATAGAAGTAATTGAATTTTAATGGAAAAATGTAATCACCACTCACCTGCAAGGAAAAGTTACTAGATAAATGGGCCTTCTACACAAAATATGCGTAGAAGGGCTTCAAGAGATTAGTGGAGGAAAGTTCCACTTTGAATGAACATTTCGAAGCCCCCCCATGTAGAGTTTTTTGCATTTAACTTAAGGGGTGGAGGGATGCTAAGGAATCCTCCCAACACACCAAAACTCATAAACTTCATGTGAGAACCTCTGATTAATGTTTTAAATGTAATATTTTAGCTAAAATTAGAGGATGTTTTCGTTTTTAAAATCTCAAAAAAATTGGGAATGTCACTTTGAAAACAATTCTCAAATATCTGCACTTAACATGCCTTTTTAATTTAGCTTCATTATTTAGCTAAGAAAAGTCTTAGGTTTTTAAAATATGCAGGTAATAAATATAACCTTTAGAGTGCATAATGTTCAAATTTAAGCTTATTTCTACAGATGCTCTTCAGTAATTTCAAGGATTGAAAATTACACGTAAAAAAGGAAATTTGTAAATTTGAGTCTTGACATTCAAGGTACTTGTTTCCTTTATTACTTGAGAAGCTAGCAAATCATAAGATTATGGAGCATGAGCATTTCATTAACAGTTGTTTCTGTAAGGTGGTGAATATTGTTCCCATATCAAATCTTGCTTTAGTGTTCTATTAAAGTTATCCATGTGGCGTGTAATAATTGCAGGTTGGTTGGCATCATTATTAATACACATCAAAGGATGTAGCATGCATCATGTGGATAGGAAACTACATTTAGTAGAAAACTACTCAACCCTACTTTTACCTTTCAAATATATGTATATTATATATATATATGTCATAGTCTAAGCAGTAATTTTGACTGTATACTAACACTGGTGATAATAAGATACGTAGCATATTTCTTTAAGATAGTCCAATTCTTTTACTTAATTCTTCGTTTCTTAGCTCTTCTGAGTTCTTTTAAATTTTGGGTTTTTAAACAAATTTATTTAATTATTTTAAGTTCTTTGATTATTTTTATTAAAAAATCATTTATAGGGGGCTCTTAGCAATCCGTACATCAGTTGTTTCGAGCGCATTTGTGCATGTGTTGTCATCATTTTCTTAACATTTACTTTTTTTTGTAGAAAAATAATTTTATTAGGGGCGGCTCTTATAGCTCTTATCACCATCATTTTCTTTCTACTTGAGCTCCTCATTTTTTTCCCCGCCCTTCACCCTGCCTCCTTGAACCCTTGATAATTTAGAAATAAATTTCCACTTTCATGTTATTCTTTCTAGTACGGAAAGGCCATTAAATGCTAGTGTCTAATCCTTACTTCTTTTTCTTCAGACTTCCACTTGATCAGTTGTTAGCTCTTGCCTCATTCCACCCTTCCATTGTACATATATGCATATATAGAAACCTACACATTTACATATATACATATATCCTCCACAAATTGATCTGTTTTATTATTGGCACTGAATTAGAGTGTTAGGTTATTTAGAGTATAAAGTAATGTTTCCTTATTTCATCTCCATTTGCCTATTAAATACTTGCCTTTAAATTAACATTAAATTTGGTTATATAAAAAAGTTTATGATTTGGTAATGTTTTTAAGGTCAAAAGATGGAATTTAAAAATTGTCACTGCTTTTTTCTTTCAAAGAAACTTGGTGAAGATGAAGAGGAGTTATCTGAATTACAACTTCGTCTTTTGGCTCTTCAATCAGCTAGTAAAAAATGGCAACAAAAAGAACAACAGGTGATGAAAGAAAGCAAAGAGAAGCTGACTAAGACAAAAACTGTACAGCAAAAAGTTAAGACCAGCACAAAAACGCATTCAGCCAAAAAAGTTAGCACTACAGGTAATCATTTCTGTTAAATTATTATTATTGATTTCCTCTATCAATATAATTTTAAGTTTTTAATACAGAATTTTGAGTTTGGGAAATTTTAAGGCTGAAATGGAGAATCTAAACAGAATTTAGCACAACCAAATATGACTTACAATAATTAAAATAATTTCTAAAACTAGCTTTTAAAAAATTGTAACGTTCTAATATAGTGGTTCTGCTTTTTTTTATTTAAAGCTAAACAAGCATTGCGTAAGCAGCAAACAAAGGCATGGAAGAAACTACAGCAACAAAAAGAACAAGAAAGACAGAAAGAAGAGGATCAGAGGAAACAAACTGAAGAAGAAGAGAGAAGGAAAAGAGAAGAAGAAATTAGAAAAATTCGAGATCTCTCAAATCAGGAAGAGCAGTATAATCGATTCATGAAATTGGTTGGTGGGAAGAGGAGATCAAGAAGTAAAGTAAGAAATGCAGGATAGTTTTATCAAACAGCACTGTATGTTAAAAATAAAATCAAGAAATTACTCAAATTCAAGTTTACTGAAAGACTTAACTAAATTCAGTCAACTTTAAAAGAATTTGCTTTTAAATCCTAGCTTTGATGTGCCTGTTAGGTGCTGCTGAGGCCATGCTGACTCGTAATCTCACTTTTCAGAATAGAAATGCCAGCGGTGTTTTCTAGGGTGTACTGGTAGCCCTGGGCTACCGATGTCAAATTCGCTGGCAAATCTTTGCCCTTATTTAATGATATGTAAATTGGTCCTCACTTGGAAAGACTAGATTAATGCTTGCTTCTCCAACAAATTCTTTATCAAAATCACCTTCATTTGTTGCTAATGCATCTTTTAAATTCTTGCACTAGGGTGAGGCTTAATATGAACCATTAGTACCTGGTTTGACTTACCTACAAATTCTTAAGGCTCATGAGTGGATCTCATTCATAATTCAGGAACTGCATATGATCTTTACAGGAGTTGAGCTGCCTGTATGTTTTTCCCATAGAGCTGTTCGATGAGTTTGAATCACCGACCTTTTGGTTAGCAGCACAGCACTAATGCACTATCCTTATATTTGATATAGCTTATTATATAATTTGGAGGAGAATGGGAGAAGTAGGTGATAATTGGGGATGAGTCTTTTGTAGTTAGAAATACTAAAGTAGGGGCGGAAGGGAGCAGCTGATACCAAGGGCTCAAGTAGAAAGAATGCTTTGAGAATGATGATGGCAACAAATGTACAATGTGCTTGGCACAATGGATGGATGTATGGATTGTGATGAGTTGTATGAGCCCCCAATAAAATGATTTAAAAAAGAAGAAATATTAAAAGTAGAAGAAATGGAAGGAAGACTCTAAAATTATGGTTTGGGAAATTGTTTTTAGCTTTTTCATAATTTTCTACTTAAAAGTAAATAGGATTACTAAATTGTAGTAAAGATTTTATTTAAAAAAATGTTCTCTAAAGTATAGGGGTAGAATTTAATTAATTTTTCATTGTTTAGTAATGTAGAATCAGCAAAGTACCAGATTAATTGTAATGAACTATTTTAGAAAGTGTTGTTGACTCATCATATAGTAGTGGTTTATGTGTACACTACTATCTATACACATATACTAGTGGTGGTAGTGTATGTATAATTTTGTGTTAAGTAATTATTAAGCATTTATTATATAAAACATTGCTAGTGACTCAGCAAGTCAACTGTTTTATGGATAGTGTAACAAAGTTCAGAATTTTGAGCTTTACAAATATTAAACGTTATTAAAAGTAAATGCTAATTGGAGAGAGTCAAGAATTCGATTTGGCTAGGTAAGGAGTATTACAAATATACTTAGAATTTTAACAAGCGTGTTGATAGATTTTCTCTAGTGATAATGTGCTTTGCTCTTCATCTGGAAAAGTTTTGCTAGTTTTTGTTGTAAAACAAAACAGACATCAAAACCTGTCAACTCAAAATTTCTAGTAGCATTTTAGTTAGCATTAGTTGATTCCTAATTAAATTGTGTGTTACTGGATTAGTTTGGAAACATTCTAAACATTTTTAATGAAAGCCAAATCTGCATTCTAAATTTAGTCTTGTTATTAGAGTTATTAAATGTTCAAGTACTTGGTTTTATTTTATAGATGATTAACAACTAACTGAAATGTCGCTGGTCTAAGTAATATTTCTATTCATCTCTCTGATACAGCTATAAGTTATAAACCACAGTGTATTTGTTATGTAATTTGGATTTCCCAAAACAGATGTGGTAGGAAAGTTTCTAACTAGGAGACTGATCTTTGATACTACTCCCTAGAAGATAACTTGTTTTCTACTTTCTACCAAGGAAGAACCTAAGACAAAGTGTTGTGAAACTAAGAAACTTTGTTGTATACTTAGTCTTCAGATCCTGACCTGAGGCGGGCCTTAGATAAGCAACCTACTGATAGTGGAGGAAGCATTTATCAATATGATAATTATGAAGAAGTTGCTATGGATACAGATAGTGAAACCAATTCTCCAGGTAAGTGTCAAAATGTGAAACATTTGTTATGTTTTTAATTATTAACTAGATAATAGTCAAATAGCTCCCCAAGCTTTTGAAGTAAAGTGAGATTTGATGGTAGATTGTATAATCCTAGACATTATTTGCTTCTGTCATTGCTAAGGGTACAGATCACAAAAATGTCCAAGTCAAAAACATTTTTCCCCCCAAGCATTTCTTTTTAGACAGCTTATATACATTTTGTAAATTTTTAGACAGCTTACTTACATTTTGTAAACTGACCTACTGACCTGAAAAGTGAAGATTGTGAAAGATGAGAACACTGCTCCTAAAACTTTGGAAACTGAACACACAAAAAGTGTAGATCTTGTAACTCTATATGAGATACTCTGTGCTTTAGTTGGGGGCAGGGGTCTTTCTTGCTTGTAGAATTTCTCTTTTCTGCCAATGATAAATGACAGGAATTGGGGGGTGGGAAGTGGCACCAGTGGCATCTCAGGAGACTGGTTAGAAGTGATCAGAGCTGTGCCTCAGGTGGCACATCCTAGCAGCTGCCTTTTTTTTTTTTTTAA